AAGTATGTGAATAACCCGAACCAGTAACCAAGTGAGTTCGTTTAATTTTTATCGCTTCTTCGATTATATTTGTTACCATCGTCTTCAAAAAAAATAAAATTATCGACGAATTCAACTGTTAAACATTTTTATCCAAACGTCGCAAAATACGAGTTCAGAAACTCAAAATAAAACTTACTCGAATAACAACAAGTAAGGGATTTATACAATCATCTGTAATACTTTCGATACCATGTTCCCACACTGCTAATAGCATACGTCCCTTTATCTACAATTCAACATCATATTTTCATGTTCTATCCCGACTTTAACTACTCACTTATGCTTCAGTCGGAATAACAATGAAATTTTAAAAGAAATTCTATCTGATCCGATTAGACTGTAGAAATTCTATAGAAATATATCTTGTAATTTAATAAAGCAGCGCACAAGTATGCCATCAGATCAATTATAACATATTAGTGATGGCAACTGACCGACGTTCGGTCGGTAAAGTCCAAAAAATTATCGAATTTCAGTAAATTCGGGAAATTTCCGATCGGATTCCGACTGATAATTTCAAGCTTCGATCGAAATATCGAAAACAAAAATCTTAAAAAGTCAATTCCGAGAGAAGCCCAATTTCGTTCGGTTACCATCACTTACATACACAAGGCGAACGTCAAAAAAACGATCAAAAGCAAGAAATGAAATGAAACGAACTTGTCCTTTGCTCGGCAACCATCCAGAGAACGGATGTACTTCAGAAAGACCTTCCATCATGGCGTTGTATTCAGTTGGTATCGATGGTACAATAGCGGTTGATTGCCTTGTATCTACGTACTGTAACTTAGATACAATTTCAATCTTATCGTTGTTATCAACCAATAATAATGACACTACTTATAATAACATCATTTGCTCATAATTAACAGCAAAAACAACATTAACAGCTGTACTAGTAGCAGTGGTAGAACGAATGGTAAAAGACAAACGTGAAAATGTATGGAAAGTAATAAGAACAATAACCTCAATATCGCTGATTAATCTTGGTTTTTTGATAGCTTGATCATTTGAGACACCTTGAGCGGATGCATTCAAGTCTTTTTGCTGTTTCGTCAAGCGATTATCATCAAATATTCGGACCGCATTATCCTCTTTATGCTGCATCTTAAACAACTTTACATTCTTACAACTTACAACAACAACTTGCTGATTTGATTTAATTTAATTTCTTCGAATTATTACAATAATGTAATCGAATATGTTTTATACTGCTGAATCGTTTTAGAACTCATAAGTGCTGAAGTGAGTCAGTTAAGATAACTAAAAGTTTATAAAATTAAACTTCGGCCTGTAAAGGCAATATCGTCAGTTTTATAAATAAGCAAAATCGTAAAAAAAACTAAATGCGGTAAAAAGAATTCGACAGAAATGTAATTTCACTTTATAACGACGATGCTCTTAATTCATAAGCACAGAACCACGATGTTTGCGTGCATAAATATTGCTTAATGAACCATGGTAATTATAATTTCAGTTAAGGAAAATAATAACGAACATCGCAAAGTTTCTTCATCGTAACAAAGAAATCACTATGAACGAATTTTTGGTCAGTGGGCATCATCGCTAAACCCAATCCATTGAACTCTTCTTGTGATTTATGGCCCCGCAGCCATTCCTTGAAGTATGAAAAATATCTGAAATTTACTATCGCCTCAACATTTTGTTGTGTACTCTCAACAACATAACATATACTTACAACTTTATTACAAACAAAAACAGTCATTATGTGATTTGCTCAGACTAACGCTTATCGAATCTGCTGCCCACTCCCCTCGTTCTTCATCTGAATAATTCTGTTACTCATACAACTTACTATTAGATGCATTCTGAGTTTATCTTTGATTGTTGACCACTTTTCGAAAAGAATCAATCAAAATATCTCCGGTGATAGATATCACTATCAATCGTTTGTCGTTAAGGATTCTTGTGCATTCATTTTTCAAACAATTTGTTGGCTCAGTGCTTGTTGCGAGGAACCTCTCAACTTTAAAGCTTCTAGCCTCGTTTCCCACATCGTTCATTTAATCAAATTTTAAATCCAAAAAAGATTATGCGGAAGTAACTTTTCACCCATANNGCCCGAACCCTTTTCGATTGTACGGTTGTTATTAATATCAGTGTTATTGTCTAACAATTGCAAACAACCCCAAACGGTTGTCAATATCATAAACATTTTATTTCTGCGGTCTTCGTTAACCTCATTCTCAACGTATTTATATTCGTCGTTCTACCTTATTCACAAATAAACTTCACTTCTGCTCCTCGCCTTGTCGCAGCACAACACGCGTTCAAGTCAAAGTATTTCAAGACAGTGCTCGTTGTTGTTTCAAGACGACGCAAAAGAATCAGCACGATGCAATTCTCGAACCGAAATCAAACCACTCATCCCAATAAAAGACTGCAACGAAAGACGATCGATGCACCCCACAAATAAAACAACCACTCACACTTTACTGCGTTGTTTGCCGAGAACCACCTTAATATGGTCACGCATACGCACTAAATGTTCATCAATCGTGCCCAACAAAACATTTCGACTACCACTTTCATCACTTTCCATTTCACTCTAAAACATTCATTTTTATCAGTTAGGCACTCCTCTCAATATTATTCACTGTCAGCAGAAAGCACAACAAACTGACATAAATAAGCAACAATTCACCCGAACGTTGGTTGGCAGATGAAGATAATGATGGCGTCGACAACAAAACGAATACGAAACAAGTACAATCGAATGCATCAGATGTTTATTCCGATAACGATGAAAATGATAACATCAGAATGATAATTACATTTTTAAATGTCACAACGACAAATATGGTCACCATACAACCTGTATTGAAAGTAATTACGATCCACATCTTACATTAATATGCAATTTGATATTTTTTCACACTGAAAAATTCTCATCACAATAACTAATGATATGTCATTTCATTCTAATAACTCGAATGCTTCTAGAATAAAATTTATCTATTTTAGGTGTCGTCGATTACGAATTGCTGAATAGCGTTAAAAATTTAGAAAAATGATCGTGTGTCATGTCATGTATGAGGTTTACCTACCATCAAAATTGAAGTGTTCACTGTGCCGTCTGCAAAGCATTGATAATTTCTTTCTAACGCTGAATTCATACATGACACATACGATGATTCTTCTAAATTTTCAACGCCGAATTCCCTGAAACGATTCAAAAACCAATTGCATTCGCAATGAAAATGTCTTCCCGACCGAACCAAGCACTAATTTCAAACTGATTCGATCAATG